CATATACTAAAAACAATTCTCATTTTTTAAACTGCTTTTTGAATTTTGACCATTTTATTTCACTAAATTTAAACTTTATTTTTCTTAGTACCTGCGTTTTGTTTCTGTCCCTTTCTTTTTTTTTTTACAAGGACTTGGTCTCTGTAAAAAAATATTAAAAAACTTTTACAAGGACTTTTTAAATATTTTTTGTGTTAAATTTACATATATCCTAAAAAAAAAATGTATCCCAACGTGTCCGTGTCCTAATTTTTTAGGAATTGACGTATCGCCGTGTCCTATCGTGTCCGTGTCCGTGTCCCGTATCCGTGTCCGTGCTTCTTAGGTGTTGAGCATGTAAAACTAGACCAACTAACCTTATTAATAGTGTCTACAAAATAATCTCAAAGGTTCTAGCATAGAGCATTAAGATGGTGCTCCCTAGAATGATTTCTAATAAGCATTTTGCCTTTATTAACGAGGGAAAATTTTTGGACCCTATCCTTGTTGCCAATGAGGATATTGAAGACTGTGCTAGAAGAAGAGTTAAAGGTTGAATTGTTAAGTTCATTGCCCGAGTACTAGATGATTAACTGTTAAAGAATCTTCGAAGATAAGCTCCTTGATTGGATTGATTGTTTTCAACTCATCAATCATCAAGATCAAAGTCTTTCGTTGGTGCTCTTTATCTTAATTTTTTTTTATACCTATTCACTTCCAAATATCTGTTCCAGTTGGGGGGCTTTTTTGTATGATTGTTCTTTTGCTTTCCCTTTATCACTTTTGCTTTCTTCTTTTTAGTCTACACTTAATAGACTTAGTATTTTTGTACACTTTTTAGCTTTTTGAAAAGTTATGTTTCTTGTTTATAAAAAAAATATGCGCCTAAAAACAATTTAAAAACAATTTCTGGAGGTTTGCGCCTAAAATTCTATCAAGATCTAAAAGATGGTGAAAATAATAAGATCAAAAATGATAAAAAGACAGCCACATAAACCATCCAATAATGTGTTCAATACCAAGGTACATTTGAGATATACGTTAGAATTTATTTCATTTATAATTAAGTATAAGAGCCTTAGTGTAACTCCATTCGTTGGGCTTATTCCCTTTTTGTAATTTCATACATCAATAAATTGTTTCTTATCAAAAAATAATAATAATAATAATTAAGGAGAAGAGCTGACCTTCAAGGTTGTTAACAAGTTATTCCTTGCATTGCTAAGGAGCTTTATCTGATCATGGTTCTCTATTAATGTTTGGCATTCTTGACATAACCTGAATCCAGAGACAATCAAGTTATCGCAATACTTGAATCAAAAAATTTATGTGAAAGCCAATGCATCTATTTTCATACTTCTCGATAGAAATAAAGTTTTCTCGAATCTGGTTTATTGACTTTTCAGATAAAGAAAGCGACTCCAACCCAGCTTGTGCTTGTTCAACCTACATTCATGTTGGGAAGGCAAGACTATTTGAGCAACACAAGATCCTTTATCTTCAAGTGGATCTCAGAACGTTTGGTCCATTAGTAAATATAAAAAATACACAATGGTGAGACAGCAGATATATTCAAAAATTATGGAAGAAAGATGTCTGCTATACCTGCTCTGCAACCATTGTACTGAGTTGTGCATCATTTGCCTGAAAATGAAGTATGATTGCAACATTCAGAAGACAACTTTTAAGTTCAGTCAACCCCACAAAACAAGGCCAACATTATATGATTAGCAGAAAGATAAGACATTCATAAGCATCACAGTAATTGTGCCTGAATACAACATCGGAATCTAGGAAATTATGCTCCAGCTGTACACACAAAAAAAAATTGAATAACTATGAGCATTGAGCCCTGGTACCATTGACCAATACTATGGCAGGAAGTTGAATTGAATCTGTCTTGACACTGTCTCAACAACATTAAACTACAAGACTTCCACATCAATTTGTTAGACCTCCTGTTATAAATGTGTATGTTAGGAAGGCTAAGGAGGGTAAATCCACTTTATCAGTTAGTTAAGTGGTTAGAAGAGAGAGAAAGGAGAAGGTGGGATAAATAGGGGGAAGTTAGTAGGAAGTTCCTATCTTTTGGTATTTTGTGTAAGCAGTTGTACTTGGTGGAGAGGTTACCAGCCCTC